CCCTAGTTCCTGTTGACTAATAAACCTTCTGTGTTACTGGCTGGCTGAGAGCCACGGTGAATCGCAGGAAGTGGGGGGTGCGGGGCCCTGACTCCCCCACACTCCGTGACAGCTGGGTCCTGCCCCAACCTCACTGCCGAGGGGGAGACACACACAGAGCTCCAGCGGGGGGGAGAGGGCTTTGACAAGGCCATTCTCTGGTCTCTAGAGCAGCTCTGCAGTAGATGGGCAGGGCCCCATGCCACGCTCTGGGATAATGACTCCTGTAGCCCTCGGCTGGCTCAGCATGGCAGTCGCCTGCGTCCCAGTCATGATCCGACACCTCATGCAATCCATCAGCATGCCGGGCGCTGTCTGTGCCACGCAGCACCACGAAGAAAGAGCCCGGCAGAGGGACCACCCAGAAGTGCTGTTGCTGAGGCAGGAAGGAGAGGTGAATGCAGCTGGTTCTATGGCAGGTCACCTCGGATGGGCAGCACCGGACTCCTGGGTTTGTCGGTAATGGAGGCAGAAGGGATGGGATGGGGGGGCAGAGACAGGCACGAACCAGGGGCCCTTTTCTGACCCTAGCCATCACTTTAAAGGCTTGTGGGCGGGGCTCTACCGCTCTGACCTGAATTTGCAGGGTCATTAACCCCGTGATTCCCCAGGAGCAAACCCCGCCTGGTCCCTTTGTCAGGTTGCAAAGCAGGGCTGAGAGAAATGAAAAAGCCAGAGATACTCAGCTTGGAAGTGACTTTAAAGCCAGTGCTGCTCCAAAGTGCAACAGCTACAAAGTGCAGCAGCTTTAAATTCAAAGGTCTCGCTGCTTTAATGTGACTAATCCACGTTAAATATACATGCTGTCCTCATCCTGCTATGCACGAACGCCAGTCTCATTCCTCATTGGGGTCGCTGGGCTCCATGCAGCAAAATCAATGAGTAGGAGCCTGGTGGAGCCTGCTTTTCTGCACTGTGTAATTAACCAGCGGAACGCATTGCTGCGGGATATTATTGAGTTTAGCAAGTCTCAGGAAACACTTAGACCCGGGGCATTTCTACCATGCGGAAACGGGGATCTCGGTGCAATAACAAATGAAATCAGATTGAATCGGGGTCCCAGTTGGATGCAGGATTTGAAGTTGTTACGGTAAAATACGAAGGAATCCTGCCTGGCAGGGCCATAGGCCCAGATCCTGAATGGGATTTGGGTACCCAATGCCCATTGATGGGAAGCCACAGGTGGCCTATGTGGAGGGAGTCTCCATTTCAGCGCTGCAAAGATCTGTGGGGCATGTTCATAGATCTTAAGGCCAGAGGGGACCATTAAGAGCATCTCGTCTGACTCCTCTATAAGCCAGGCCAGCCAGTCCCACCCGCTCACTCCTGCATCCTAATCGGTGGTCGGGCTGCACCATGCGGTTTAGAAAAACGTCCAGCCTTGATTTAAAGAGTCCAAGAGATGGAGACTCTGCCGGCAGCTCCAAGGGTGAATTCCCTTCACTTTCAAAACGTGCATCTTATTTCTAGGCTGAACTTTGCTGACTTCACCTCCCAGCCATTGAATCTTGTTCTGCCTTGATCTGCTAGAGGAAAGAGCCCTCTGCTTTCAGATGCCTTCTCCGTGCGTAGGTGCTTATGGACTGTGGCCAAGTCACCACTTAACCTTTTCCTTGATAGCTAACAGCTGGAGCTCCTTTAGTCTCTCATGGGAAGGTGCATCTCCTTCATGGAGCTCTTCGCTGAGCACTAATTTTTCAACAGCCTTTTAAAAGTGTGGACACCTGAGCTGGACATGGTGTTTCAGTAAAGAGCTCATCCGTTCCGTAGACAGTATTACTATTTACTATAACCTATATTCCATGTCCAGAGATAAAGTGTATCTCCAGAAACCGCCATCGCCCTTTTAGCCACCGCATCACACTGGGAGCACGTGTGCAGTTGTTTTCCTCCATGACTGCTAAATCTTTGTCAGTCACTGCTTCCCCCAGTACAGTTCTGCATCCTATAAACGTGACCTGCGTGCTTTGTTCCTAGATATATACCCCAGCATTTAGCTGTGTTAAATCTATGGTGTTTTATTATGCCCATCTTAACCAAGCCACCCAAATTGCCATGTGTCCTCATCATTATGTACCTCTCCACCAATCTTTGTAGAGTCCGTTAACTTTATCAACAATTCTATATTTTCTCCCAAGTCACTGATAAAATTATAGAATAGCATTAGACTGAGTACCAATCTCAGGGGCTGCCCACAAGAAACACACCAGCTAATTCCTTATTAATAGCGCATTTTGAGATCTATCAGTTAGCCAGTTTTTAATCCATTTAATAGATAACATAATCATAACGCATGAAGCAACTTGTACCTGGGAGGGCTACCAGACTACCGGGCTCCACTTAAAGGTTGGTACATGAGCTTGCCATTCGCATTGTGGAGTATGCCATCTGGCAACTTGACCTGTAAGGTAACAACGGTTTGTAGGTGGGAATTTCCCAGGTATTTTGTAAAAGAGTATCATCACCAAGTGGCGCATCTGCTGAGACATCAATGAGGCTACAAATGGAAAGGGCCTTCAGTCATCATACTTCAGGGGAGGAGCTGATCACCACGAGGGTCAGGCAGCGCTGCGTAACTTGGTGCACCGAGGGGGGCACAGAGGACTCCCCAGTAGGGGGGACCTCTGCTCTGCTCAGGCAGCTGTCAATAAAATGTACCAAGACAGGGGGAAATATAACATTGCCTTTATTGGCTCATTCCTCCCATACAGCAAGAACACGAGATTCGTCATGCAGACGCTACGTGACAGACAAGCACACGGTACATGGAGAAATATGCACAGCTGGAAACAACGCCTCCACTGGCAATGTGAATGAGCCCAGCTAGCATCATGCACGTGACAGGGAAGTGAAATGGACGAGAGTGGCAACACTGAGCGGTCGGGGATCCCTTTCACTGGCAGCTTTGGCCTAGCCACGCCTACGTCACCGCTTCGCTGCACAGGCTGGAGGCAATGCCAGCAAAGCGCCCGTCCCTTGGGTCGGACCGAGCTCCCTGTTTGTTGTCTCCCCCCATGCCATAAGATTGCTCTGCTGTCGGAGCTGGGAGGGGCTCCTAGCAGATCAGACTCTGCCAATCAAGATGGGGGTTAATATATTTTCCTGGTTATTTTTGTGATTGATTAAAATACTCAGCTATGCTATGCAAAGGATGGCTGGGAAATGGCCAGCAACCAGCTGCTCCCGGGGCTCAGCGCAGTGCGGGGGGCAGGACATGGCCCCACTCTGTACAGTCTCAGGTGAGAGAGGCAGACAGCGGCAGCAGCAGAACTGCTGTGAGCTCCCACGCGCCATGTTATGGGGGCAGCTCACGCCACCTTGGGAGTTCTCACCTGGCCTCAGCCCAATGCACTGGGGCCCTGGCACGTCTGCTGTGCTGGGCAAGGTAAGAGGCCACTCCAGACCCATTGGAAAGGATGGTCAGGTTGCTCTCCAGGCTTCTTTGACAGGCAGCAGGGGCTACCCCTGGGGGATGCTGACATGATCCCCAGTCAGGGAGGCTGCTGGTCCAGGATTGGGGCTGCCAGCTGCGTTCTGGGCAGAAGATGGGAAATCATGCAGCGTGGGAGCGGACAGAGGGGACTCTACATCGTGTGCATAGGTGTGTATTCCCTGCAGCAGATCTGATTGGCTGCTCTTCCCCCGGAGGCGGGGAAGGGGGAGAAGCAGCCAGTCAGAGGGAGTCTCTCAGCTCACTTAGAAATTTTATTTCCAGAACTGAGCCAGCACTTTAAGCACTAGGTGCTGGGGGTGCCTGAGACCCAGCAAATTCACTGCACAAATGGGTCACTCACCCAAGAGCTGTCAGCCACTGAAACCCGCGAGCCAGGCTGAACGGCTCCCTATCCCATTCCTAGTACTGCTGGGCCCAGCAGCGGGCTCTGGTCCCCATCACCATTCCCCTGGTCCAGCCAGCCCCTCGCTTGCTCTCTGCTGGCTAACCAGCCACTGCAAT